GGTTCAAGGATAGAAGGAGGAGGTAACTCCGACACCCTAAGTTCATAAATAAAATTTAGGATGGAATTTTGTTGAAATGTAGCTTTCAGATTTTCTATTTCTTTCTTGTTTTCAGCTAAAATAAATATATCGTCCACATAGTGAACATATATTTTACAGGTTTAATAACTTTAGTAAAAACCTTGTTTTCAACATGGGACATATAATAATTGGAGACGCACGTCCCAAGAGGGTTTCCCATACTTATTCCATCAGTTTGTGTGTAAATAGTAGCATTTTGGCTATAAAAAGGAACTCTAGTGGTGCAAGCGAGCAATACTTTTCTTAAAATATTGGGTTGGATTGATGGAGGTGGAATTAAATTATTTTTATATACTGAATTCATGATAATATCAATAGTTTCAGAGACAGGAACGTTAGTAAATAAATTCTCTACGTCAAGTGACGCAAGAATGCCATGGTTTGTTTTTACTTTTGTGCTTTTAAGTATTTGGAGGAATTCATCGGTAGATTTAATGATAGAGTTACTAGGGAGATATGGGGTAATAATATCATTGAGAAATTTTCACAGTTGGTATATGCATGTTGGAATCTGAAAATAATAGGCCGTAACGGGTATCCCAGTTTGTGTATTTTAATATTACCGTATAAATAGCCAGGTTTGTAATCTCCAATAATTTTGTTTATTTTTAGGGATCTTGCAACGGCATTGTTGGATGTTATAAGTTTATTAACATATTTCTTTAGAGATTCAGTGGTGTTCTTATTCAATTTAGTAAATCTTAGAACGATCATCAATGAGATGCTGAAGTTTTTGTGATAATCCAAAATTACATAAATATTGGATTTATCAGTTTTTATAACTATATTAGGTTGTTTTTTTTTAATTCTTTAGCAGCAATTTTGAGTTTTGTTGGAATGTTCTTGTTTCCATTACGTTCTACCTTGAGAGGTATAGATGGAGTAATATCCTTTTCCAGTTGACATAATGATTGATGTAAGATTTCAATTTCAGTCTTCTTTGTGAGAAGGTCAAATTTAGGTTAGAGATGGCAATTTGGTCCTAGATTTAGAAATTCCTCTTGATCATCGGTTAATATGTGAGTTGATAGGTTTATGCATTTATCATGGTTGCTGGAAAGTAGTGTTGCAGCGGGCCGAGAGGTGTGAGTGCCAATCGACCGTACAACTAAAAAGGGGACACAAAGGCAAGGAGATGGCAATAGCAAAGAAGGATGACAAACGCAGATGGTCCGTTGTAGACGATAGAAATCGTGTCTATTTGCGAACAGTAGGTGGAAAGAGGACAGAGGTCGTTTGTTCGGGAACGGTATCTGGAGGTTGGAACTGATCGCTGGACGTCAGTGAAGCGCTGCAGGAGTGAGCCGGAGATTGCTGGAAGCTGCAGGGTGAGCTGGAAACTGCGAGAAGCTGCACTAGCGAGCTGGAAGCTGCTGGTGTGAGCTGGTAGCTGCAGGAGTGAGCTAGAAGCTGCTGGAGTGAGCTGGAGACTGCAAGAGTGAGCTGTAAACTGCGGGGAGCTGCAGGAGTGAGCTGGAAGCTGCAGGAGTGAGCTGGCTTCTCAGAGGGAAGGCAGTAGCAGAGAATGAAGTGAGTGGAGCATCGAAGAGTGGTGATCAAATGACTTTCAGAAGTTAGCTCTGAAAAGGACTGTTTGAACATGCTGCTGATGCTGGGTCCCTTCAGCTGCTGGGCTCGGTCGACTTGACTGGGCGCGTCAAAGTCGCGATTCAGGAAGGCTCCCTGCTCCCTGGCCGGCGGTATTTACTTGACTCCCACGGGGTCAAGATGTGACACAAGGTCGTTTTTCGTGGGATTACTTGACTCCCACGGGGTCAAGACGTGACACAAGGTCGTTTTTCGTGGGAAAACCCAAGCGTTTCCGCATAGGGTCACTGGTCAAAGATTGGTCATAACATGTCCAAGCTGGTCAAAGCTTAGTCAAGTTCTGGTCTTGGCTTGTCTTAGCAGGTCCTGATATGGTCCAAACTAGACTTTGCCATGGTCGCACCCCAGCGCGAAGGCCGGGCTGCTCCCTGGCCGGCTAAAAACCGCTGTGAAGTCTCGGACATCTAGATATGACGGTTCATACAAGGGAAGCGGTGACGCTAAACAAGTAAATGAATATAATTAATTTCGGGCCGTATAAATTACAGACAAAAGTGTTTTTGGTGTTTGTTGACTGTATTTAAATTAATTTCGGTTCAAAATTAGAGGTCTTTTATTTTTGTTTAGTGGCGAAAATTGAGTTTTGTGTATTTCTGTCAGTTTGAAAGGATGTCGTTCCTATTTTTAGCACACAAGGGTCGTGACCTTTCTCTACCAGCAGGCATATCCGGGGTTGTTTAAGAAAAGGTGGGAGTGGTGATTGGACACACTGCGACAAGGCCCTTTCTCAGGATAATTGATCATTACCAATTAGAAGTAAATATATGTCTTGTACTTCTTAGGGAAGGTGACTTTCCTTCCAAGGCGGGTCTGCCTGGTTGGAGTTGTGGGTGCTTCTGGAATTGGCTCTGACCTCGGTTGTGACGGTTGCGATTGCGTGGTTGTTGAGGCAGGTGAGGGTTCTGGGTGTGTTGAGACGGGTTTTGTCTCCCGTGGAGATTTTTCCAGGAAAGCTGGTTTGACTCTGTCGATAGAGATGGTGTCTGTCCGGCTTCCTCGATCAATGGTGAGATGCTTCTCAGAGCGTTTCAAAACTTTGAATGGACCCTGGTATGTTGGTGTTAGTGGTTTCTTTACCGCGTCATTTCGGACGAAAATGAACTCGCAGTCCTGAAGCTGTTGTGGAACGTGGATAGTTGGTGATGATTGCCTGGGTGGTGTATACTTCAGTTGGGCCATTTTATGGCGAAGTTCCTGAGTGAAAGGACTTGCAGTGGTAAGGTTGGGTATGGTGTCATCGAAATATTGGCCGGGTAAAGAGAGTGCTGTACCGAAAACTATTTCGGCTGGAGTGCATTCTAAGTCTTCTTTGAGTGTGTTGCGGATTGACAAAAGGATTAGGGGTAGCTCGTCTACCCAGTTGCTGGTGGGATGTTTTGTAGTTAGAGAGGCCTTTAGTGTTCGGTGGAACCTTTCCACAAGGCCGTTGGCGCAGGGATGGTAGGCGGTGGTCTTGATGTGTTTGACGCCGAGCAGTTGAGTGAATTCCTGAAAGAGTGAGGACTGAAACTGCGCACTGCGGTCTGTGGTGATGATGCTGGGTACGCCAAAAATTGCGATCCACTCCTGAAGGATGGTCTTTGCTACCGTGCTAGCCGAGGTATCTCTGATGGGTACTGCTACTGGCCACCTGGAGAAACGGTCAACCACTGTGAGGAGGTACTGATAATTCTGGCACATTGGGAGAGGTCCCACTATGTCGATGTGGATGTGGCTGAAACGTGCGTCAGGGTTGCTGAATGTGCCTGGCGGGGATTTTGTGTGCCGGTGTACCTTGCATTTTTGGAACTTAAGGCACGTTGATACCCAATTACGGATGTCAGTATTCATGTTGTGCCACGTAAAACGATCGGCAATGAGTTTGACCGTAGCGCGCTTGCTGGGATGTGACAATCCATGGAGGTGGTTGAAAATTTGCCTTCTGAGTGCCGGAGGTATGTAGGGTCTGGGGTGATCCAGTTTTGTATCGCAGTACAATATTTTGTTGCTGAAAGGTGCCGGAAATTCTTTCAGTTGTAGGGATGTGTTGGCTAGGACTTCAGGAAGGGTTGCATCGGATTCCTGGGCCTCTGCTATCAGGTCCTGGCTGAGTGGGCTGTCTTCCACTGTGTTGACATCAAATCTGGATAGGGCATCGGCGACAGAGTTGTCTTTTCCTTTGACATAACGAATATCGGACGTGAACTGTGAGATATAGTCCAGATGCCTGATCTCGCGAGCCGTATATTTGTCCGAATTGTTCGACAGGGAAGTTGTCAAGGGTTTGTGGTCGGTCAAAACGGTGAAATTCCGGCCTTCCAGTAGATGTCGGAAGTGTTTGATGGCGAGGTATATAGCCAAAAGTTCTTTCGAGAAGGTGCTGTATCTGGACTGGGCTGGTGATAATTTAGACGAGAAGAATGCGATGGGTTTGCGTTGGTCGTCAAACTCCTGTTCTACCACAGCTCCAACTCCAGTGTCTGAGGCATCTGTTGTTAGATATATCTGAGTCCGGGTGTCTTCGTTGAGATGTGCCAACTTCGTAAAGTTAGCTAAAAAGTTTTTTGCTGCTTGGAATGATTTTCCCTGGTCGCCCTCCAGGGTGATGGCTTTGTTTTTTTCTCTGGAGGAGATTTGTCAGTGGGGTGTGGAGTTTTGAGCATCCGGGGATAAACCTGCGGTAAAAATGTACCATCCCCAAGAAGCGTCGCAGTTGCTTTATTGATGTGGGCATCGGGAAATCCTGTATGGCTCTTATCTTATCGGGGAGTGGGGTGATTCCCTGAGCGTCTGTGTGGTGTCCGAGGAAGTCTATGTGTTGTGCGCCGAATTCGCACTTGTCTGGGTTGATTCGGAGGCCGTAATGTGTTAGACGGCGGAACACTTCCTCCAGGTGTTGTTTGTGGAGATCAGCGTCTCTGCTAGCCACTAGGATGTCATCAATGTATGCGTAGACGTATGATAGGCCACGCAGAACTTCGTCCATCAGCCTCTGGAACGTCTGGGCTGCGTTGCGCAGTCCGAAGGGCATTTTTAGGAATTCAAACAGTCCAAAAGGGGTTGCGACTGCTGTATTTGGGATGTTCTCCGGAGCAACTGGAACTTGGTAGTAGGCTTTGGTCAGGTCGATTTTTGAGAAAATGCGGGCCCCCTGTAAACCTGAGGCAAAGTCGTGGATGTGCGGAACAGGATACCGGTCGGGTACTGTGGATGCATTGAGTTTCCGGTAATCCACGCAGATCCTGAAATCCCCGTCGGATTTGGATACCAGATTCAGTGGTGAAGCATATGGGCTGTCTGAGGGTCGGATGATATTGTCAGCCAGCATCACCTCAAACGCTTTCTTGGCATATGCTAATTTGTGTGGAGGGAGTCGTCGTGGCCGTGAATAAGCTGGTTGTCCGGTGGTCTTTATTGGTCTTTTGTTGGGTCTGATGGTCGCCTGCATCAGTTGGTTTGATGGGTTGCGTGAGGTGCTTGTACCGGAGCAGGATTTCTACGTAGCGTGGGTCGTGCTGTGTTGCCACGCTGATCCTAGTTGTGTTGAAGCCCGAAGGGATCCCTGTGATCTTGATGGATGTCGTGTTGTCGGACAGGGTCCTCGTCTTCATATGGACAGCCAGGTTGTAATGTGCCAAGAAGTCGGCACCGAGCAAGGGTGTCTTGACGTCAGCTACAGTGAATGACCACTTGAAGTCGCGCCTGAGGTTGATGTTTAAGGTAAGGTCCTTGGTCCCATAGGTTTCTATGGTGGAGCCATTTGCCGCTCGAAGTTGGAATGAGGTGGGTTTCAAGGCGGATCTGTTGGTGGGTGGTATCAACATTCATCCGCACTGTTTCTCCGTCCTGGACTTGAGCTGCGGGTACGGCTTCGATTTCGTGTGCGTGGTGCTGGGCTTCGCTGCTTCCGGCATAGGGAAAGTTTCAAGTCTCTCAACTCTGTGCGTAGCTGGGTCATCTCCTCTTCGAGGCGTAGTGTGTGATTTCCGTGGTTTTCAACCTGGTGAACTTTTTGGTGAGCTTGGGAGTATATTTTGTCGGCTGAATCGGCCACAATGTCAAGGGGCGTTTCTACTGGTACCAGGGCTAGGACTTGCATTATATTCGGTGGTAACCGATCCATCCATAGCCCTCGGAGGATGGGTTCTGCCATGGTGTTGTTCCCGAGGCGGAGGAGCTGGGATGGCGTTCTATCGCCGAGAGACACATTAGAGAATAGGTCTCTGATGAGGTCTTCGTCCGAATGTCCAGTTCGTTTGAGGATGGCTTCTTTGAGGCAGGTGTATGGGAGTTGGTCCGGAGTATTGAGAAGGATGTCTTCCACTTCTTCAACAATCGATGCTGGTAAGGCTTGTACCACGGAGGCGTACTTAGTGTCCTGTCGTGTGACCTTTCTGGCTGAAAATATGGCCTCAAGTTGAATAAACCAACTCCTGGTGTTGATTGAGTTGTATGGCGGTAGTTGTATCAGGGCGGCTGATGTGTTGATTTCTGGATCAGTGTTTTCCGCCATCTTCTCTGCTAGCCGTTTGTCCATAGATCACGTCGAGGTCACCACTTGTTGCAGCGGGCCGAGAGGTGAGAGTGCCAATGACTTTCAGAAGTTAGCCCTGATTGTTTGAACAACTGCTGCTACTGATTCTGGGTCCCGTCAGCTGCTGGGCTCGGTCGACTTGACTGGGCACGTCAAAGTCGCGATTCAGGAAGGCTCCCTGGCCGGCAGTATTTACTTAACTCCCACGGGGTCAAGATGTGACACAAGGTCGTTTTACGTGGGAAACCCGAGCGTTTCCGCATAGGTTCACTGGTCAAAGATTGGTCATAACATGTCCAAGCTGGTCAAAGCTTAGTCAAGTTCTGGTCCAAGTTAGTCTTAGCTTGTCTTAGCAGGTCCTGATATGGTCCAAACTAGACTTTGCCATAGTTGCAACCCAGCCTGAAGGCCGGGCTGCTCCCTGGCCGGCGGTATTTACTTAACTCCCACGGGGACAAGATGTGACACAAGGTCGTTTTTCGTGGGAAACCCGAGCGTTTCCGCATAGGGTCACTGGTCAAAGATTGGTCATAACATGTCCAAGCTGGTCAAGCTGCTCCCTGGCCGGCTAAAAACCGCTGTGAAGTCTTGGGCATCTAGATATGACGGTTCATACAAGGGAAGCAGTGACGCTAAACAAGTAAATGAATATAATTAATTTCGGGCCGTATAAATTACAGTCAAAAGTGTGTTTGGTGTTTGCTGACTGTATTTAAATTAATTTCGGTTCAAAATTAGAGGTCTTTTATTTTTGTTTAATGGCGAAAATTGAGTTTTTGTGTGTTTCTGTCAGTTTGAAAGGATGTCGTTGCTATTTTTATCACACAAGGGTCGTGACCTTTCTCTACCAACAGGCATAACCGGGGTTGTTTAAGAAAAGGTGGGAGTGGTGATTGGACACACTGCGACAGTAGAATATTTCCTTGGTATAAGTTGCATTGTTTTTTTGTAATTATTTGTCGATGGTCAAGTTCATCATTATTGATACTTATGTTGATGTGGTATTGTGTTTCATTATATTCAGTTTTGGTTAAAGTATTTTTTAGTACTGCAATATGTTTTTGGATTTCATTATTTATATGTTGGGTTTCGTTCTTAGCTTTCGTTATTTGTCGTAAAACAAGATTTTTTCCTAAAAGTTATAATGTCGCTTTTCTTGTTGGCTGCCATGTCATGCAATTTAAAATTTGTGTATTTAGGCAGCAATCCTTCTTTCATGCACATTTCATTGAATATGACAGTATAGTTTGTTGCATGTACGTTTTATAAAACATACATACAACAAACTATTTCTTATTTAACAGTTAAAATATTTAATCCTTGAAAATGGCTAAATGCTTAGACAAAAGTGCTCGGATAAAAAGAACATTCAAACAGTTTTTATATAATTTATCATCAAAAAAGAAAAAATTATTAGATCGCATGAGAAATTGTATAAAAAACTAAATAAAAGTACCTTGTCTGTCGTATTCAATGAAATGTGCATGAAAGAAGGATTGCTTCCTAAATACACAAATATGTATACATATATGTGTGTGTGTTTGTATGTTTGTGTGTATGTGTGCGTGTGTAAACTTTCAGATGTAACTAAAATATATCTATAAAATAACAATATAAACAAAGACAAAAGGACTTTATCAATTCAAATGTTGGGATTATATTTTGCAACAAGTATTTGTAAGCAAAAGTAAAAATATTGTTAGTTTTCAAAAATATTTAAATTCAAGAGATGTTCATAATTTTTCATCTGGTTAACTGAAAAGTCTAGGTAAATTATAAAGGATGCTAGGTGACATAATTTAATATCTAATAAATGAAAATGAGTAAATCGTGTTGTTGAAGTTTTTTATGCAATTAATATTTAAATTGTTTTAGTGTGAGATAAATTTAGTCATTATATATTTTAAAAGATATAATACATAAATTTATCCCATATTAAAATAATTTAGATATAATCCCTACATTTGCCTTGATAAAGTCAATCAGAGATGAAACACATCACTTAAGATAAGTTGATATATATATATATATATATATATATATATATATAAATTCATATGTAAACTTATATATATTTATGTATACATATATGAATGTATATATCTATAAACATTAACACAACATAAAAAATCAAATGCAAACAAAATAGTTAAATGTATATTTTCTACTAAGAGGAATTAAGAATATAGCATTAAATTTCATTCATATCTTAAAACTAATGGATGTGGCAGACTTTCCTAATCTGATAAAAAATAACATTGTATTTTGTATAAATGAATATATATATATATATATATATATATATATATATATAATATTACTCTTCCATTGTTTTTTTGATGTATGTGGGTGCTGCACCCACATACATCAAAAAACAATGGAGAGCAAAGCTCTCTGATTCATCTATCGATTACTCCACAATCCCACCAATATATATATATATATATATATATATATATATATATATATATATATATATATATATATATATCTTTCCGGATCCAGAGTGTTGGTGGTTCAAGGGTAATGATGTAATTTCCTGACGCCAAGTCGGTTGGGTTTCAATCCAAGCTCATCTATATCTCCCATTCTTCTTTTAAATCGAATCCATTACATTCATGCACATGCGAATACCATTGGAAAAGGTATTAATCCTCTTCTTCTCCCTCCAACTATGGGTAAATAGCAGGACAGACTGGGTTCTATAGCCTTGGATGGCATCTGGTCTAAGAGAAGGACAACTCTGAATTCAAAACCTGCGGAGACATGTTTGGGGACCTTGAGGCACATAATGCACCAGGTCTCTGTATTCAGCCCTTCAAAATGTGTGGTTGGTTCTGCGCAAAGCCTTCACTACTATAATCAAATCATATGTGCTGGTGTCTGGGCTGTCGTTCCTAGGAAGTGAGCTGCTAGACCTTCATACGTTGAATACGATGGAAGAGTCCACCATTTCCGGATCCAAAGAACCTTTTGAACTAGAGATCTGAAATCATGAGCCATTTCATACATACAAAAAATTCCCCTAAGTTCATATCCAGCTGGATAATAAAGTATGCACATTTCAATTAACCCCCTCCCACCAATACATTATTAATACCCTTGCTTTTCTTCTTCTAATTTTTCTTCTTCTTCTTCTTCTTCTTCTTCTTCTTCTTTTTCTTCTTCTTCACATTCTTCAAATTCTTCTTCACATTCTCCTCCTCCTTTTCTAACTTCCTTTTCTTCCTTCCTAACCTTTTATTTGAAGTAGTGTGAAACATCAGATTCTTCATTATGTCATTATTTTCTCTTACATGTTGAAAGTCCTCAAGTGATTTTTTTTTTTTTTGTATTTGATACAGTTCTTTGTGATTCTGTAGCATGAGTTCACAATATTTGAAGAATGATGGTCTTTGCCAAGACTGAGAGGCTTCACTCACTCAAAACCATTGATCGTAGAAAGAAGTGGTATACAGCTGACAGTTTAGATATTTCTGATTGGTTTTGGTGTCATGCATGACATCCATATGAAATTCTCAATTTTACAATGCTATTTAAGAACATGATAAGTTTTCATGTTAATGTTTAGGTTTTGTAGCAATTTTTATTGTTCAACAAAACTACCTGTAGTGCAGCCTATTCTCTGTTCAACTTCCTTATCTCCAATACTAAATTTATTATAAATGATTCATACACTGAGGTATTTGAAGTGCTTAGTATTTACTAATTCCATATCCTGAATTTTGATGATGGATTCAGGGTAGGTGTCATCACTGCTTTCATTCCAATTCCAGATAATTGTTTGTTTTGGAAAGGTTTATTTTGAGTCCTATTTCTTGGAATACTTGATAGAGAATGTTGATTTTTTTTTCTTCAAGATCATTCTTATCCCAACTATGAATAACTATGTTGTCAACATAGACCTTCTCATCATCAGTGCATTGACTATGAGAAGGAAAGCAGGATCTTTGTTGTATATTTGCAAATTTGTTTGGGAGGTGGTATAGAATATTTAAATGATCAGTGCCCATCTCTTCACAACTGTTTTTGTATGTGCACTGGCCATACTCTAGGAAAAGATTAAATAGATTAAGGCTCTTATTTCTTTCTTGTTATACACGTTGTCATATGAGGTTTGAAATGTTTCCTTATTGGGTTCTTCACCAGACTTGTAAGATTTTATAGATGGATAAACTTCCACTATTAGATTGATACATTCAGTGGAACTTGGAAGACTGTTTCTAATGTATGAGAAGAGGAAGTCTCTATTGATGTGGTCATATGCTGCAATATACAATTCCCTATTTGAGAGTGATGTAATTTCCTGGAGTTGTTTGATGACATATATTCCATCATTACATCACTTAATAGAATGAAAACCAAACTGAGTAAAACAATAGAACCTTATTAATACTTTCACCATAAAAGATCCAGTTGAGATACCTTTGTATGTGTATGAGTCTTGCTGGCTAGCTTTTTGTTTCCATAATGAAATAAACTCTTTTGGGAGAGGCATTTCTGGTCCCAATCTACCTTTGTAAAATTTGAAAGCTTCTTATTGAATTTGGAGAGAAAGTAAGCTTTTTTCAAAAGTTCAACCTCAATATCTAGTAATGCTTTCTTATTCATTAGTTTTTAATAGCTTTCTAAATTTTCTTATCAGTATGTTCATTATTGTTTATATTTGGAGATGACTACATACACATAACACATACACATCGACCTTTATGTAGGAGTCAGTATGTCTGGATATGGGAAGAATATACATATATGTGCATAAATACTTATACATATGAATAAAAGATTTACACAGACTTCATTCATTTAGTCAGTTGTCATATATATGTTTATAACCCGGGCATGCTTAGTACTCATGGATCCATTAATTATTCTCTTATAAATCAATCAAATCAGACTTTCAACAAGACAAGAATATATTTGCTTATTATTATTTATTTAATTCCTCTTATACAGTAGCAGTATCTCCATTTTATTTTTATTTTTCTTTCTTAAATTTAATT